ATTTTATGAAATGGATTAAGTCATTTATTAAGTAATATTATAAAGTTTTATTAGATAGGTTTTAAACGAGTAGATAATAAAAAAGATTCAAATTCAAATTCTCGTCAGTTGTCATTAAAAATCTGGTAAATTGTGCGGTCTTMTTATTTTTTCAGAAATCTACAAATAATTTTATCAAAATTTAAAACTTATTATTCAAACTATTATTGATTAGTTATCACTATCGTTCAACTCATACATCTAATGTTAATATAATTTATGGTTTTTTAAAATATTTTAGTTTTATAAAACGTGCATAATAATTAATAACATTATGCCTTCGAAACACTATTTCTTTGTATAAACCACATAAAAYTGTATACTCCTTCAAAACATATAGTGAATACCTAAGAATAGATAAATGTTTTAGTTAAAAAGTTATACATCTGTTTTCAATTAATATTCAAAGCAAAAAATCACGGAAATAATCCATAAGTAATTCATAAAGATCTCCCTATCTATATCCCAATATCTATAGAATAAAGCTAGTTCTATAATCAATATAGTATAATATTATGTAATTGACTGCCGCCCAAAATATCTACACCACCGCCCTTTAAAATGGCCTCAATCACTCCCAATATGGTATTGGAAATAACAACCAACATGCACAATACAATAATATATATATATATCAATTCTAATCGTGGTCGTATTTGGTAGGTATTTGAAATAACAACCAACATGCACAGTACAACAGTATATAATATATATTTTTTGATTCTAATCGTGGCCGTGCCTAAGATTCTCATGCATATGGTCTCTTGCAAGACTTCGCCGACCATAAACAATACCATCCTCAGCGTGACGATTGTCGAGAACAGCCAGAACTGCAGCGATCCAAAAACCTTGGTATCCGACATCTCGTCGGCATACGATGTGGCGYTTGGCACGAAGTACAGCATAGGAGTTATGAGACCGTTGAGGAGGATGGCGCTCAAAAACACGGTCCGCCGGCATTTCCATCTGTCGGTGATATATCCAGTTAGTGGTTTGACCACGATGTTCAGCAGCATCAGAAATGTGAAAATATGACCGACCACTGACGGTGAGAAGCCCAGCTGCTTGGCGATCGTCGACAGAAATGGGTTGATGGGTGAATTTCCTGGAAAACACATGAATTTATTCACGAGCACAATAACACGAATATATATTAGTATCGTTTTAAATAAACAAGTGCTTTCCTCGTGCCTCAAAATAATCGAATTTTAGTTTTGGACACTATTTTGTCAAACCACAMCGTCATACCGGTACCGATTATAATTATACATTGGATATACTTTCTATTATACAGTGAGTTAATTAGTTAAAAAGTTAGTGACCTTAAAAAAAAAAAATATTAACTTTTTTTCTGGTAAGTATCTGCTTTAATCGTGGTACAGTCGAACTTAGTTCACTCGAAGTTACTAAGGGGTAGACAAAAAAATTCAAGTTATCCCATAAGTATTTGAGTAATCCAAAAATCCAAACATAAATAACTAGGTCTATACTCTGTTCACAATAAGAATAGTATACGGCAGCTGATTTGAGAGCATAGTCGTGGCTTTTACTACTTATGCGTGGATTGAAGCGCTGGCAATGTCGGTCGGGAGAGCAACGGGGGGAATAATAATGGGCGTGGCTATGACCGGTGGCGACAGGGACCGGGGAAAATAGTTCGGGCATTGACGATTTTGAGTGAAAGAAGTTCGAGCTGACCACGTTCCACTATAATAGATTGGCCATTATAGACTTAGTCTCATAGCTAATTCACAACAAATTACATCGAAAAAACTGATCAACTAAAAACTTCACACTACATCATGAACTAAGGTTACTGGCTTTAAAATTAATTAACATAAATATAGAACTTTTAATACTCATTAAATTTCCAATTGTACCCTCCTTAAACATTTTGTAACCTACTCCTTTGTACGATAAACTAAATTCCCCATCCTG